TTCAAACCTTCTTTTGTTTAGTTCTGTTCTTTCCATTACTTCTCTATATCCCAAGTGACCTCAAGAGAAAAAAAAATAGCACTCATACTACCATGATTTTCTGTGCCTCCAACACATCCTCATTTGACTCAACTTCCTGCACTGAAATGGAAGACCCAGCCCTTCGTGGCTTCGCTTGAAAACCTGATCATCTCTGAGGTGTGCCTTCTTTTCACACCCCACTTCTAGGTATCACAATTTAGAACTCTCCTACTTCTTATGACTTTTTCCCCCTCCTTCCTCATCCAAGGCAGCAACACCTCGTGTTTTGAGTCCCATGGCAGTGTACTAACTCTTCCCACCCCCACCTCCACACCCCCAATCTGTTCTCCACATAGTGACCACAGGGATTCTTTTAATAGGTAAGATCACGTCCACATCATCATGGGAAGTTATTAAAACTTCCCATGTTCAGAATAATATCCAAAGTCCTCACCAGGGCCTAGGAGGCCCTGTGTGATCTGGCACTTGCCTTCTTTCAGACCGCCTTTCTTATCATTCTCTTGTCCACTTGACCCTCATGACACTAGCCTTCCTGCCATTCCTCTCATTGCTTTAACACTTCCGGATGTTCCAGTGTCACCTGTGGAGGGAAGCCTTGCCTCACCACCCAAACTACAAAGTGCCATCCTTCCGGTAAGGGTCCCGGTCTGCCCCTGTATCAGTTCATTTGAAAATTGTCTGCCCCTCGAACTAAATGGTAAGCTCCATGAAGACAGAAAATACTACTCCTATTTATAGCCTCAGGACCCAGAAAAGTGTCAGGCATACAGTGATGCTCAATAAATGCTTAACAAAGGAAAGAAGTAAAAGGTCGGCATATGATCAATGTGAATGAAGGACTTTAAGCTTCTTCCCACTCCAAGAATCTATGGGTCTGTGAAGGCCGAGCAGCCTGGGTTAACTAAATTTATAACAAGTGTGGAGTATCAGGAACTTTAGTTAGTGCTCCTCTTTTGAGACTGAATTGATTTTTCTCTTCTTGATTCCTCTCTATGTGGAACAGCTGAATGCAGAGCGAGGTGCCCATGACCTTCTCAAGAGAAAAGGCAGGGAACGTAAAAACTATAGCAGCATGCCTCTGTTCTCTCTCTGCAAGAGTGGGCTCCTTCTTCATCCACCTTGTTGCTGGACTTTTAAAAAAATCTTTGCTTTATCCAGTGGTCTTGGTCTGACTACCTCTTACTTACTCCTCAAGTGGTTAGGTTAAATGTTCTTTACTCAGTGACAGTCTCCTGGTCCCCAGACAAGGTCAGGTCATGCAGTTCTGTGATCTCATATTTGCCTTTTCTTAATACTCATGTCTGCCAACAGTTATCATGAGCTGCCTGCCTTGCCATTCTGAAGGCACCAAGATTGACCCTGTCTGTCCTGTTCATCATTATATAGTCAAGGTGAATAAAAAAATGACAGGGACACAGTAGGTGCACAGTAAATGTTTGCTGAATTAACAATTGGATTTTTATGCTAAGCAGCAAAAAATGACAACATAAATTGCAAAAAAAAAAAAAGTGTTGATTGTTTATCGTTTCCCTGACACCAGCATCAAAAGCAGCACCACATTTATTTGGACACTGTTTTGTGGTCAGCAGTAGGTGATGGGACAGGGGACATTTGCTGCTTGAAATGCTCTAATTATTGGGCAGATTTTTCAGAACTAAGGACCTGAGTGGCTCTGTAGAAACCATCCAAGGAAGACAAATCAAATTTTGTTCATAACACTGTCAGTGTGCAGATCATGATCTTTTCTAGAAGTTGTTTTATCAGGAAGTTCTGTACAATTTTCCCATAATCTCTCTTCTTATAGTCTGGGCCTTTTATTTTCCTCCCAAGGAAGCGAAAGCACAACTAAAGGTATAGTAGGAAGAATTAGGAAAGGCTCTCGTGTTTTGAATATTTTTCAACTTCCCAATTTCCTTTCTCCAAAAATGGAAATAATATCTATTTTCTCAGAATTTACATAAAACAGTTTGAACAGCTGAGTATTTAGCATGTGAAATGTTGATAGGCACAATTGTTTACACCACATAGTCTAAAAAGCACAGATTTTTTACAACTAATGGAATTTTGGAACTTGCATTTTCAGAGCTAATGCTATTAACTCACCCAAGTAGGGGATAACTTTCTGAAAGGGCTTATGGATCAACCAGGCAGGTGCATTACTGGAAAGACCAAGGCTAGAGATTCTCAGGGGGCCACCTGACAGAGAAGCTGAGCCATGCACACTGGAACAAAATTGTCATCTTGACTTACTAGCTTGTGCTCTAGAGACAGACCAGCCAGCTTACCATGACCAAGCTCCAGTGTATCTTACCAGTGCCTCAGCAGTGTGAGCACCCGAATGTCACAGCTTATGAAACCACAGCTCAATTAATGGAGAACAGAAAGGAGGATGGGTGATCTATATTTTGGTATTGAGAGGGATTTAGAACATCTGAACTTCAGGGAGTCTTTTTATGCAGCATTGTAAGTTGAGAGCATGTATAAAGAGCTGGATATCTTATTTGGAAGCAGATTATCCGCATAGAGGATACCCAATACCATGCTTCCTGAAATGAAACTTCAGGACCAAGGTCTGACAGTAAAGAGGGCATTTGAAGGCAGGGTTGTCCTGGAAGCTTCGGACTCAGGCTCACCACCCCTTGGTTCTCTACCTTTGAGTATGTCACTGCCCAGAAACTAGGAAAGGGAATCTAAAGCCATCGGTTCATTTCTTAAAAGTATGTTAAATTTCAATCAAAAGAACAATTGCTGCTGAAACAGATGACCACAAACTTAGTGGCATAAAATTATACAGCTTAACTGTGTTATAGTTGTAGAGATCATAGAGATCAGAAGTCCGAAATGAATCTTAGAGAAAATCATGGTGTCGGTAGAGATGCTTCCTGATGGAAGAGTATGGTAGAGAATCCATGTCCTTGTCTTTTCCAGCTTCTAGAAGCCTGAATTCCTTGGCTTGTGGCCACCTCACTCTGACTTCCGCTTCCATTGTCACTTCTCTCTCTGTGGCTCTCTTTTCCACTTATAAAAGCCTGTGTAATTAGATTAGACCCATCTGGATAATGCCAGATACTCTCTCATCTTAAGACCCTTAACATAATCAGACTTGTAAAGTCCCTTTTGTCATGTGAGGTAACAAATTCACAGGTCTCAGAGATGAGGATATATACATCTCTGGAGGGGAGGGCGTCATTCTGTCTATCACAGGAGATAACCAGAACTACTTGGAGTCTATGTTCTTTCCTTTTGTTCTCAAGGCCACCACAATCTGCCTTGTGTTGTCAAGACTCAGCTATGGCCACCTAGGATTCCTTTCCCCTACCTCACCTTCCTCTTCCAGATGTAGCTTTTACTGAAGCTTTAGACCACCACAGCTCACTGCATTCACTTCCCTGCCAGGCACTGGTCCAAAGCCAAGTCCGTATTGGTGTTTAGTTCTTATCAGGCTGCCCATCCAATATTTCTCTCCCCGCGTCACCTTCCTGACACATGATGGAAGTGCAGTTTATGTGTGAACACTGTGTGGTGGGAAAGTTCATGTGATTAGCTCTGGCTAATGACCCTTACATTAGCTCATGTAAATGACCTCTAGGCTGTGATGCCATGAGACCTTTTAACACCTCTTTTCTCTCTGGTACAATAAGCAGCAATGTTCAGGATGGATGGATTTGAATTTGATGTGTACACTAGGCAAGATATAAACCTTATTGTAACCACTGATATTTGGGGGATCATTTGTTACTGTAACATGTTACCTAACTTATCCCAACTGATACATTTAGCAAGGGTTAATGGGAGGTAAAAGGGAAAAGCAAACAGCACAGATCACTCCTACCTGATTCTTTCCCTTTGCCTGTCTCTATTCACAGGACCCAGACTTCCCTATTTTTCTGATGAAAATGTCCATTGACCCCATCTTCTAGCTGTTGGGTTTCTGTTCTGAGGAGGTAGAGAATTTATTTTCTGAAGTGTAGGTGATAATATACCCAAGGATATACCATTCATCACACATAGTTGACTCTACATCAGTTGAAATGAGAAAGATCTGCAAGTATGATGATGGGGTGCTGGGGAGAGAGAACAGGGTAATGCTACAGCATTTAACCACCATCATTCTCTTTATTTCTTGTGCTAAACTCTCACAATGGAAGTATGCTTCTTTCAGGGCAATCACAGAGTGGCAGAGAATTGTGGAATTTGATGGAAACTACTGTAGGAAGGGAGTCATGCAGACTTCCTGGGGAAGAAGAAGCCATGCCAGGCTGCCTAGGGCCTTGGGAGTGTCTGCACACTGCAGGCACTCACTCCTGGAGGCTCCTTGTTTTGCAATCTTTAGATGCCCTCACCTTGCTCCCCTCACCCACGGCCACTCCTGTAGCCCTTGCCTGAGGCCAGAGGCTGAGATTAAGGTTTGGCTCCCACTGGCTAGAAATGAACTCTAGCCCAGCACTAGGGATGCAACAGGCAAATGCCTGCAGATTAAAACTGGAACTTCACATGCATGTTTCACAGAAACATTATTGCAACCCAAGTTAAACATTGATGGAGTTTCTCTATAACCACAGCTACAATATCCAGGTCTTCCACTGGTCTGTCAGTGCATGAGTTCCTACAGGCCAGCCTCAGGACCCATCACTCACCAAAGTGCGTTGTTTCTATGGAAACCTGCAATCTGTGTCCAAAATACCCAGGTTAAAATTGTGCTATTTTATTTGACTCCGTGTGTTTTCAGCTGAGAATTGCCAAAATTAGATTAAAAAGTGAGGTTCTTCTCTAAATTTGTGCATTTTCTTTATCCATATTATCAATTTTTGTCAATAAGAATAATTGAGGACCCTCAATTCTAAAGCATCTGTTTAGAAGGAACCTTACCTTTAAGGAAAGATTAGCCAAAATGGGGATGGAAATCCTTTTTAGCCATTGTTCATTTGCTTTTTCTTTTATTTCTTGAAACCCCGCAGGGCGAGCCCTGCTGAGACTTACTGACAAAAAGCTTGAGCGGATGGGGATTGCCCAGGAGAACCTCCGGCAGCACATCTTACAACAGGTGCTCCAGCTGAAGGTGCGAGAAGAAGTCAGAAACCTACAGTTACTCACACAAGGTATCCTGCTGCTGCCTTGTGGGTGGATGGAAGGGGGGGAGGATGGGAAGAAAGAAACCTTTACCACCATGACAAAGGGGAGCCAGGGAGAAACTATTTTTGTGTTTTTGCAGAATTTCTTTTATTTTTTTTAAAGGCATATAGATTTAAAGCCCACTTCCCTCCTAAAACTTCTCTTTTTCATGGGTCACTGGGGAAGGATACACAAATAAGTAATGGATGAGCAAAAGGAATTATCTGATGGCCTAATTTCAAGAACATCACATAGCGTTATATAGGTTGTGCACTGCACAACCCTAGAGAACTTACATAGGATATGGATATGGATACAATCACACCCCTTCAATTTATAGTATAGTGCTGCCCAAGCTCTCTTAGTCACGGGCCTCAGAATTCGCATGATTGCATAGTTCATAGGATCGTGATAAAAGTGGGATTTTTGTTGTGTTTCATTTTACTTTGCTTTTCATTGACTAATGGAAAAAATAAACCATTTTAAAGGTATGTGTCTGTATATATATGCCTATGAACACATACTCTTCAGTGATTTTTGAGAATGCTCTTTAGCATCCTGAAAATAGAATCTTTTTTTTATAAAAAACAGACTGTAAAGAATTTAAGCCTGGGATATTATGACCATATAATTCTTAACAAGAATCATTTATAAATTCGATATATTGGGAGTGCTTCAGGGACCTATAACAGGAAGTGACAGGAGAGAGCTAGAATTTGAAGAAAACTTTAAGTTGCACTATGTGTAACTCGTGTCTACATAAGATTGGTTGCTACCAAACTCCACTGGCTATAGTCCTTTATTTATTTTATTTTAATGTCCATTACACACCATTTTAAGTGAAAGGGTGCTAAAATATGTGTTTTTGAGAGCCTGGGGTATTTTTCAATCTGTTGAATATTGTAACTGTGTGCATACTGATATTGGAGAAATCTGGGTCAGCCAAGTTTCATGTTGTTGCATTTAGATTATAACCCAGTAATAGACCATTTGCCTAGAGAAAGCGATGTACTGCCTAAAGATGACTGCTCTAGAAGGATGAATACAGATTTCGAGTGATATGAAAATAGTGTGTTTATTTGATATGCATTATTTGCATTTGTCTCCAGAGGCTTCCAGTGGTAAATTTATAGGTACAAATACACTGAGTGATTTAAATTTGAATCTGGCATACTGATATACTTGTTAGTTTCTTTGAAGAAGTAAATAGAGATTCAAAGATTTATTATAAGAAAGTCCATCCTGGTGCTATTTATAAAACTGAAAAATTATGAACAACCTAGAGGTTCAGCAATATGGAAAGAAATAATTCTGCTTTAACTCATAAGATACAATATAACACAGTCATTAAAATTAAATCTTCAAGGAATATATGACAATGTGGGGAAAGTACTCAAGAAGTAATAGGAAGTGGGGGTAGAGGGGAAAAGACCATATTTTACAGTATGAACCAGTTTTCTTAAAAAGAACATATTTTTATATGTACACAGAAAAAGGAATGCCAATGAACGTGCCAATATTTGGATAATGATTCTCTCTAGGTGGTGGGATTGTGGGTGATTTTAATTATTTTCTTTATATTTTCCAAATTTTCTAGTTTAAATCTACATTATGTTTATAACCAGAAAGTATGTCACATTTTTTAAGCTTCGATCACATGTATCATTCTCTACCAGGTCTGGTTAGTGTCTTGAGGTTTCCTCTGCTCTTTTGTTTTCTTCTTCTGATGATATGGAGAAAATGAGACCTAAACTCATCTCATGTGCCTTAGACTCCTCCCCCCCCCGTGCTGCTGTCAGCCTGCAGTGTGTTTGCTTTGCAAAATCATTTTCTACAGCTTTCATTGCCCTAGATGCATAATATATAAGATTTTTCCTGAGATAGTACTCAAGTCTATTAAGCTAAATATATGTTTGTGTTCTGGGAAGGTAATGCTAAGTTCAGCCTTTTCAATTCAGTTGTTGTCACTTCCTTTAGCTTTGAAGAGCTGTGCATTTTGCATTCTTTCATTCCATTCCCTTTAGAAGAGATCATGTTCACTAGCTCTTGGATATTCTATCTGCACTCATATTACCTTTTTTATTGCTTGTCCTTTACATGTTAATGTTCAAACTCATTTCATGCCAGGCCGACTTTAGAAAATCTATAGCCTTGTTGAAGCGATGGTTTCTTTTTTTAAAAAAGTGAAACAAAAAAAATTGACAAGTTGTTTTTATGACTGATAATAGAAGTTCTAAAGGCAGCTGGGGTAGGCTTAAAATATTTTAGGTCTGGGTTTGCTATAATAAAAATTGGAATGTTATTCTACCCAAGTAAAGGACTGGCATAACATATAGATCATAGGGAAATTCACCACAGGGGTGATACGTGATTTGGTATTGAATATTTGATTCCTCATCTCTGCAAATATTAATCAGTAGAAATAATATGCCGAATAAGTCCAAACTAAGATTTTAGAATGCTACTTAGCTTCTGGAAATCTCTCAACATGTTTCTAAAGAAAATAATAGCTAAGCCTCCTTTTGCGACTTTTTGATGGCTGTTTTAAAACTGGTCTTAAGCTATTGATTCTGTACCAATCATTTTCACACAGTTGGCCAGGAACCCCATTACAGTAATTGGACTAAGATGGTCTCAAAAGGACTGGGGGAGCTCCTTTGGGTCATCTGAACACAGAGAATGTGAAGTTTCTACCCTGCTTTTTCTTAATCTCCTCCTCCTGGATGCTGACCCAGAGACAAAAACTATAAGGTATTTTAAAAGTGTACATGGTGGATTCATAGCAAGCATATCAGTTTATAGGCACTGACAATGAATCATGACAAAAAATTTATAAAACAGCTCATCATCTAAAGCCAGAACTGTCCTTCAGCTGAAATGCTGGCCTCTGATTTCCCTTCTTTTGTTCACAGTGGCCCTGTAACTATCTGATATTTGCAAGAAACATAACCCATGTCTGGTCCTGCTTTAAATGTTCCCTTGGAGACCACTGAGGTGGTTTCTTCCTCCATACAGCCTTTTGGTCTTCTGTGTCCTATCCACGAAGTGGCCAGGACGTCAGTTTGGTGGTCTTGCTAGTTTGCTCATTTCTGCAGAAAACTCTCCCATGTTATGGCACCTCCAGTTATCTTGGGAAATGCAGTACAGAGCTGGAAACATCATTGTTCTCTCCTTGATTCATGAGAGACAGGAGAAAGGTTCCTTATGTAACACACAGCGGTGGTGCAAAATATCAAATTAATTCATAACCAAGCATTTGAGGGGGCATCCGTAGCTTTTTTAGTAATGGACAGTATTTGTAGGAAGAAAAAGACCCCAGGGATACTGAAAGCTGACTGTTTCTCAGATGGCTAATGAATTTTAAATTTTACTATACACACAAATCACTGCACTAATTGTCACATCAACTCCTGATAGTTACCCTACCATGATCAATGGTGTGGTTAACCCCAACTTACATACAGGGAAACAGAAGATTAAGAATTTAAGTAATAGGGATACCTAGGTGTCTCAGTGGTTGAGCGTCTGGCTTGGGCTGAGGGTGTGATCCCAGGGTCCTGAGATGGAGTATCACATCAGCTCCCTACATGGAACCTGCTTCTCCCTCTGCCTATGTTTCTTGCCTCTTTGTGTGTCTCTCATGAATAAATAAATAAATAAAACCTTTAAAAAAAATTTTAATAGACCCGAAGTCAGACTGCTAATAAAGAGCATAGTACAGGTCTGTCTGACTCAACAGCAAACTTTTATCCATTATATTTCACCACCTCTGATCTGTCAGATGGGATAATAATTCTATTTCATGGTGGTGCTGTGATGGTTAAATGAAATTTTATTTGTAAACTGTATAGCCTAGTTTATGGCATATTCTATGAAAATAGGTTGGCAGACTTTTTTTTTGAAAGGGCCAAATGTATGTATTTTAGTCTTAATAAAGGCCATATAGTATCTGTGGCAATCTGTGGCAACTATCACATCATGTAAAAACAACCACAGATAATCTGAAATGAATTGAGCTGTAGCAGTGTACCAATGAAACTTTATTCACAGACATAGCTGGTGGACTATAATTTGTGGACTTTTGTATTACAGGGGCAAAAATGTAAACGTTAAACATCATTATCAAGATTATTTTTTATTCTCAGTATCTTCCCTTTTGAAGTTATAAATGTTTCCCTCATCTCAGGAACACTATATATATATCACTCCTGGGTGTCCTTTTCAGTGTCTTCCTTGGCTACAAATACATGGATAGTGTAAAAATGTAATCACAACTATGAGGGTTGAGTTACTTTGGGCAGTAGACACTAGTATCCAAACTGGCAGATAAAGCAGATGAAGGCAGTAAATGCCACCATCTCCAAATGCCTTTTTAATTAGTGCCTACAAAGTGAAAAAAGACCATGATTGTTTACCAGGGCCACTTATAGCTCATTAAACATTAGTGTTTCTTGAAGGACTTCTTCCACATTGTCCAAATATATGTGTCAAATTTTAGTTAAGAATTGCATGACCAGAGGACTTTCCTAGAGCTTCATCTTTTGAGTTACACAAATTAGAAACACTACTTTCTAATCCAAGAAGACTTTTCAGAACCATGTGTACAGATTGGGTATTTTAGTCCAGTCACCCCCACAGTGATACTTCAGCAACTGAAGTAGGCCATCTGATCTGAAATAGGCCATCTGGTCCACCACATTGCTTAAAGAAGGAAGTCTTTGTAGAACATAGCAATAGACTCTTTGAGAAAATTTTTCCAGTTGCATTTTACAGTTTTGGGTTCCAAGACCCAAAGAGGATTAGATAATAGTTCGTGGTTACACAGCTGGTTAGTGGCATAACTGAAACTAGATCCCTATTCTCCTAATTCCCAAATTAGTGTTCTTTTTTTCTTATTGTTTGCAATGAAAGTTTAATTTCCATACAATAAAATTCACCATTTTTAGTGTACAGCTCTGCAACTTTTAACAAACACATATACTTGTGT